AGTGAAACAAATTCCCCAACTTCCATACCTGTTTCAAAATATTCTTAAGATTATATTTAGCTACTAATTATTAATTATTTAATAATTAATAAATAGTTAAAAATATATATATATAGTAACATTTTATAGTAAACTCAAAATTATAAAATTATACCATGAGCCATCAGTCATCTGTGTGTCTTGAAGGTATTTTACAGCATTCTTGATGAAATTATCAATTTCTTTTTTTCTATGATTGGGATATAACTCTTTGAACAAAACAAGTGCGTCAATTGCAGATACAGTACATTCAACATATTCGTGCTCAATCACGATGTCCGCAGCAAATTCAATAGGATTCAGTAGCTGAAAATAAAAAAGTAAAATAAAATTCTCATCACATATTGTAAATATAAATTATATTTTAATAAAAATATTTAATTCAGATTGCACAAGTCTTTTTGGTTTAGAGAATATATATATATATATATATATATAGCTAATTCAAGCTTATGAAACTCTATGTGCTCTTAAGATAGATATGATTGCTTACTTCCAACCATTCTTGTGCACCAGCCGGCTCCCATACAGCTAAACCGCCATTTTTACTCTATAAAAAAAAAGATGATTGGGGGCAGATGGTGATGAAGTTCAACTTTATCAATGAAGAATTAAATTAATATTCAGAATTAATTAATTTTACCTGTAAGAAAAGCAGAATGTTCACAGAATCATACAATCTCTCAGCTTCCATTCTCTCACCAATGAGCTCCGGTGACATCATTGACAAATATAAACAACACTGTATTTTATAAAAGACTTGATGAGATTCATATTGTTTATATTTAGAAAATAACAATGCTATGTTTAAATTTTGCTTATAGTTTCCCATATGTTATAATTATTTTGTTTGATATCTAGAGCTAAAAGATAAAGAGATTGTATTTTAAGACTCTTTCCAATTCAATCAAAAAGCAAATTATTAATTTTGTTGTGAAAAAATATCTCAATCGCGCACGCAGTCGTACAAAGTAAAGAGTAAAAGAAAAAAAAGACAATTTATATAGTTCGTCACAGATGCCTACATCCATGGATAAGACCGAGAAAAGTTCTCCACTACAATGATAAAATAAAGAATGTGTCACCAATTAACTTGTAAATCCTAATATACCAAAAATACTAGGGTTTTTCTAAACCAAACTAAATTGGTTTACCACACCAAATCGAATTGGTTTAATATGATTTAAATCAAGACACATCAACAAATCTTTCCCTTAACTAGAATTCCATTAATCAATTATATCAGTGAGAAAAATACACCATCTGATTATATTATCTTGTCAAAATGCCCTCATAATGACACTATTGAGTATTACATACTCCAATTAAGTCCAAGCAGTACGTAAATTTACAAACAAATATCGCCTTGGTCATTATATCTGTAGGATTCTTATATGTAGACACCTTTTGCACAATTACAATACCTGTTGATAAAATATCCAAATGAAGTGATATCTAGCATCAATATAGTTTGTCCCCTCATGGTATATCTAGTTCTTGGTAAGATGTATAGCACTTTGATTATCATAAGACTTCTTCTAAGTCAACCTAAGATCACTCACTAAACCCTGTAGCGAAATAACTCCTTTTACTATTTCTGTTAGAGCCATGTATTCAACCTTTATGGTAGCTAAAGCAACTGTAGCTTATAAAGTTGTTTTCTAGTTGATAACACTACCAGAAAGAGTAAAGACATAACTTCTCAGAGATCAATTCATATCCAAATCCCCTGCATAGTCTGAATCCACATAGCCTATAATTGAGTCACCCACCTTGGCTTTATCGAATGACAGTCCCACATTTGCAGTATCCTTTAAGTACCTTAAAATTCATTTCACTATCTGTCAATGTTACTTTTATTATATATCTACTCACCACATTAATTGCATGTAAAATATCAGGACGAGTAAAAATTGTGGCATACGTGATGCGATTTATAGCATTCGAATATGGAACACTAGACATGCTCCATGTCCTCATTTGTTTTTGGTGACATGTATGCAAATAACTTGAAATGGGTAGTAAATGGAACAATCACAGGCTTAGGATTATTCATGTTGAGCTTCTGTAGTACCTTCTTAATATAGGATTGTTAAAACAAAAAAAGCTCTCCAAGACTCCTATCCTAAGTAATCTCTATTCCCAACATCTTTTTTGTAGCAATCTTTCTTCTTAAACTCATCACTTAATTGCTTTTTCAAAATATCAATTTGTGACATGCCTTTAGCAGCAATAATCATGTCATCCATATACAACAGCAAACACATAAAAGAACCATCTGAGAGCCTTTCATGATACAAACAACTATCATGTATCATGTATCATGAATGTATTGAACCTCTTATACCATTATCTAGGTGACTTTTTCAAACTATACAAATATTTTTAAGTAAAAAATCA